TACCTATCATTACTAGTTCAAAATAGGACTAGGCATAAATTCAGATAAACTTCTTTTGAAAGGTAACGATTTTTGGAAGTTAACCCTCAGGGCATTATATCATCTATATAGGGTAAATCATGGTCCCATTTGGTCCCATTTTACAAAATGGAACCAAATGGAACCAGAATCATTAATTTATAAGAAGAACATGATCTGGGACTAGATTTATAATATAAACAGTGTAAAGTGACTTATTTAATAAACACCATATGAGACCAGGACTAAGTTATTTGAACATGAGACTGAGGAAAAATTTAGTCCCAGTCCCATGCATGGTCACACGGTCAGTCTAGTTCAAAAGATCATATGAAGAGGGTTTTTATAAAGAGAGGATCAGAATGAAGAAATATCAAAGATTGTACTGTAGTGAGACACAGAGTGGAAGAACATTAGAGATTATGTGGAAGAATTGTTAGAGACTACATGAGTGTGGAGTGGAATTGTGAGGAGAGGAGTGTTTTGTAGGTGTTCGTGAGGATGAACGGGCGGTAGACTAACTACTAATGGGTGCTAACCCGTCACATTCACTGATCTTCTATAATCTATGGATATCAGAGAGCATTATATAGGCGGCATTGCCACCACCACACGTTGCGGCCATCAATAGTGCTGTATGTTTGTTGTTATTCTATCACATCCTGCATTCTTCTGTCACCACTTAGTTATTTCCTTAAATAGATACTTCCGTTGCGTCTATTACATCTATAGTTCTCCATCTACATCACTTTTACACAAAGCTCTCAGTTTCATCATCGTATGAGGAACAAGTAGATATGCGGCGATATTCACGGACAATACTACGATCTCCTGCGTTTGTTTGAAGACGGCGGATTCCCTCCTGAAGCTAACTACCTCTTCCTTGGAGACTACGTAGATAGAGGTAAACAATCGCTCGAGACGATCTGTCTCCTTTTGGCATACAAAATCAAATATCCAGAAAACTTCTTCATCCTCCGCGGGAACCACGAGTGCGCGTCGATCAACCGTATCTACGGTTTCTACGATGAATGTAAACGGAGTTCCATCATCATACAGATGCACATCAGCAAAATTGAACTACAACAATTTCTATATGAAAGAAAGGTGTCAGAGATAACTGACATTCTATGTGAATGTGGTGGTGGAAATCAAACAGTACAGCACATCTTATTAGCAAGCTCTAAATTTAACAATCTCAGAGCAGAAACATGAGAAAACAGAGAAGAATGAAGAGAATGACTGGATCTCAAGGAGGTCCTGACAATGCCTAAGCTAGCTAAGAAGGCCGCAAGATTTATGATCTTAACTAGACTCCCCAGGCAATATGGAGCGATCACGGAGGACAAAATACACTAAGGCTTGCACTGAGTTCTTTCTTTATTTCACCTGGAAGAGGCCAGGTTTCAGTGTCAAGGCGATTGCCAGAGGAGAAGTGGACGAGGAGGCCGCCCGAGATGTGGAATGGAAAGCAGCATTTCGAGCGGGATTGGAGAGAGCGAGGCAACTTCTTCTCAGCACAAAGGCCGAGGGGCGCACGATCGATGCCATTGTATCCTGGCCTTTAAAAAGGTCTTCTCTGTCCTCTATAACTGACTAGGCATATTGGTATGCGTGCTGGGGTTGAGAGGCGAGGGAGCAGGTATCCGTATAGCCAGCGAGCAGCAAATACATGAGCGGGTTGAGGTTGTTCTCGGGATTGGTTTCCTCAGGTCGGTTAGCTGGATCAGTCAGCGGAATGGGCGCCATGTGATTGGTCGGCGGGGCTTTCGGAACCGAGATAACCCGGGGTTGGCAGCGGCAATGAAGGCTTAGCGTTGGGCGGCTGGAAGTACTCCGTAGATA